AGTCGTGACTGAAAAGGGGGCAAATGGGTCAGACCAACCTGCAATTGAAGTGCCTCCCTTGTTCTGTCTTACCCCTGCATCCCTCACCCTCTCCTCCCTCGATGTCTCTGTTTTCTTTCTTTAGCACCATGTTTTGGTCTCTCATTGCTCATCCCTCTCCCTGGGCTGGGACCAAAAACCACTGAGGCCTCACCACAGACCTTGGCAAGCTCTGGATCTGCACTTGTCCTGATTCCCAAAAGCTTCTTCTGCCTTGGCCTACTTGTGCCTAGATAAGTGCCACAGCAGACAGGCCTCTGCTTCTCCACTGTCCTCCCCTCCTCTCTTCTCTGGGCAGAAAGAAACAGAAATCTGAAGCTCTTGAGCCCCCTTGCTCCTGTGCCATGTCCTTAACCCCCACGGTGGCCAAGGCAGGGTATCCCAGGGCTCTCCCTCGTCTGAACAACCCCTGCTCCCTGCATCTGTGCCTTGACTTACTGGGATTACACATGCAGAATAGCCTGGACCCAGTTGCATGCCCACCCCAAGGAGTCTTGCCCACCTCTGCAGCACTGTGACAGGGAACAAGTGTGGAAAGGTCAGTGCAAAGAAAGGTAAAAAAGAGGGAGAAGATCTCCCTTGAATGGGAGAGGCTCTTCCCATGCCTCAGGTCAAAGGCACAGCCGGTTAGACCGTGTGGATGAGCTGGTGTTTGCATCCCTACAGATCGTATCTGCCATCTGCATCTCCACGTATGTATCTGATACTGTTTTGGAAGCAAGTTCCTTCCGGTTGTTTTGATGAACGTCATGGCACTTAACACGCAGAAATGCCTTCGCTACTTCTCCTCACCCTTGTCCCCAAGTGCCTCGATCAGCCAGGAGCACCATCTTCCTTTTTAATAAAGTCAGAGGGGGTCCTCGTGGCCCCTGGTTCTGCAGCTGGTCAGCACGCTAGAGCTCACAGCAAGTAGCCTGGCCTCACTTGACACTGTGCAGAGCTGTTAGATTCACAAGCTGTGACATCCAGCAAAGGTGTCAAATAAAGTCTTTTGAACCCCTGTCCTGGTTGTGAAACATGATTGTGAATCTGTTCTGCTTGTCCAGCCTGCTTGGACAACTGCTAGTTTTGGAGCAGGTGAGCTTTTATTCCCCAAAAGCCTCAAAAACGGGTAAGATGTAGCTTGTAAAGTAACATCCCTGCTGGTTGTTTTATAGCTGCCCTTCCTGGTAACCTCTGGTCCCATGACTTTTTACTTTGCAAACCACCAGGCGAGTCAAAATCAGGCAGACAGCAAGGCTTGCCCTGAGACTGGCAGGACATCCACGGCATGAGAACAAACCATTTCATTTAGCTACCAGCGTCCACAAAAATGTCAGGGAACAAACAGGGTCCAGCAGAGCTTTGCAGCCAGACTCTGAGGGCTCGCCTCGGTCTCCTGACCCTTTGCAAGCAGGACCAGAATAACCCCTGCTGCTTCGTGCTGTTGGGAAACACTTTGGAATAAACAAAGAGCCACAGCTGAGAGCTTGTCTCTGTTCTGGGGAAAAGGACCAGTAAATGATTCCTGCTCGTGAAAGATGCTGGGAGAATTTTCTGGGGAATGGTGGGAATTCAACTTCCTTTCCCATAACTCCTTCTCACTCCAAAATGCCTTTCAAAACCGCCAATAAATCCCTGCCTTAAGTGCTGTGTTGGGAATTGCTGGAAGGGAGCAACTGCAGCTGTGATGGAGTAACACAGCATCCGTCTGGAAGCGGAGGGAAACTGCAGGAGCAATAATAGGGCTATTGATGGGGGGTTGTCCTGCTGGTGCCTGGGCTGCCCCGACCCGGCTGGAGGCAGTGGTGGGAGCTCAGTCCTCTGGTGTGGCCTGGGCCAGGGAGAGGAACCAAATCACCCTCTGTGGGAGGCAGGCACACAAACCAGCCCCGTGGGCGACAGTGGGAAAACAAAACAGAGACAGTGGAAAAAACCCACTTCCTGATCCCTGCAGATCAAGCTGGAGCGGGTGGGAGGGCATCAGTTCAGGCCTGTGGGGTTTTCTGCCCACAGCAAGATGGTGATTAGAGCAGTAGCCTGGGACTGCATTGTTTCCCCCTCAGGTTTTCTTTAGCCTAAACGTCTTCTGTAACACATCCTGACAACTTTTGATCTACCCTGTAGGGGAAATCCCCAAACTCCTGGTGTACTCTCTTCATCCTTGTTCTTCAGGCAAAAGAAGCACAATGAAGAGGCCCATGGGAAGGTGTGGGCACATGGTTGTGTTAAACACCCTGCCCCACAGCAGCCCAGCCAGCAAGGCTGGAAGGACACGGGGTCCTGATGAAGGAGCCTTTGCTTTGCTTCTTGGAGGGGACAAGGCCACCTCCGGGCTGTGGGGGGTCTGCTGTGCAGCAGGTGCTCTAGCAGCCAGCTCTCCTAAATTCCTCTGCGTGAAAAATGTTCCTTATCTCAGCTCTGCTGTTGCCTGCCCCGGGTGAAAAATGCTCTCTGCGTTTTTTTTCCTGCTTGTGTCACAATCCCGGCCTGCCCTCTGCTGGTAAAATCCCAAACCTAAGGAGGAGAATTCCTACACCATGGCTGGAAACTCGCCATGGGTGTTGAGCAGTGGCTTGTCTTTTCTGATGGCCATCAGCGCCTGAGACACTACTCAGACATATGGCAGCAGAGTGGCTTAGGAGGTTTGTAGGTGATGGATCTCACACCAGTGCCATCGATGGGGATGGACCGGAGAGATTAACACATCTGTTAATGGCACTGCTGAAGGTCTTGAGAGGGTGAACTGGGAGGATCCTGGCCATCCTTGGTCACCCGGAGCAGCTGTGGAGGGTACCAAGAGCCCAGGGATACCTGGGGAAGTTTTGGGCCCCTGTGGGCAGAAGGTACATCCAGCCCATCAGCTCGTGTCAGGAGTGAAAAGGACCAAGGAGGACAGAGGACTGGAGCTGTCTGCCAGGTGTCCCCTGGGAGGGGACACAACTGTCAATAAATATGTTTTAAATAAAAGTCCTTCTCAGCAGCTGCTTGCAGCGAAAGGGTGTTTTCTGTGGAAACATGTTCTTGGAGTTCTGCTTTTGACTTCAGCTGTCAAGAGCAGGAACTGCTCCAAACCCCCCCAAAAAACCCCCACACAAGCTCAAAACCCACACTTCTGAGGGGTTTTGCTGCGGGTGCGTGTCCCTGTTTCACCCTCGATGTGACCCACGGCCCCTCTGCAGGGACAGGGCTGCGGTGCTGCCTGAGGGGCCACGGGATCCGTGCGCGGCCCGAGCTCAGCTCTGCTCCACACACATATATATACACATAATATATAATATACATAATATATATATACATAATACATATATAGTACATAATATATAGTACATAATACATATATAGTACATAATATATAGCACATAATACATATATAGCACATTATATATATATATATATATAAAATGTTGTGACTGCTGGGAATTTGTTGTGCTTCTTTACAGCGGCTTGGGGGAAGGGGGGACCCTTGAGAAGAGAGGGGGGGGCGCATCTCTGGTGCGCCGCGGGAGCCC